CCCTTATCCCAAAAAAAAGACTTTCTTACTATCTCACCCTTTATCACTTTTTTTGTTTTGTTTGTGTGAATGCACATCTTTTACTCATTTTATCCATTTAACTATCACTTTTAAATGGATAATATGGGTATTATTCATTTTTACCCATTTTTAAATGAGTTCGATACCCAACCCATTTAAAATGGATAAATATGAATGAATATCCATATTAGTTATCTATTCTAACACCCCTACTCAAAACTATGGCTTAAATCATTCTATTTTACAAGAATATTTTCCTGATGCTTATAAATGCATCAAATGCCTTAAACCATGTATTTTGCACATGTTTAGATGAATGCTCTATGTTATGCTATGTTACGGGAAACTTGGGCAAGCAATGGCATTGAGTGTTTTTTCCATGAGGATATAGGTTCGGAGCGTGACATAGAGAAACAATTTATTATTTGCTAGTTCTATCATGAAGACAAGACTAATTGTTTTAGTTTAAGCTAATGGAAAAGGGAATTGGCTTAGACATATAAAATATCGAACACTTCGTGTCACAAGATTATTCACTATATATAAAAGAGACTAATTTATATTGAAAGAAATTATTTTTTTGGTAGAGTTTTTTATTCTTCAACTAATTTGGAGTTGTTAAATTATACGATGTTGTTGCATCTTGAAAAGGACATGTCAAAATTATAGTACTGGATCGGTAAAGATTATTCCGCGATGGACTTGAATTTTTTTTAAAGAGTGCGAGATATTTGGGTCTCAACTTGAATGTTTTTATATTCATTTTTGTTCCTTAAATATTTTTTTTCATCCGTAATTATTGTATTATAACCAGCAAAAAACAATACCAAGGCAAAGTTAGTGTTTTAATTAGTATATGGTTAAACCCCGTCGTTTGTTCGGATATTCTTGACCGTTATAGCGAAATGTTATTTTTATAGAAAACATATAATATAGCATTATAAGAAAATTGATTACATAAAAAAACATAGTCGTTAAAGGAAAATATTACTCCATTGATTTCAATTCGTTTGTCTTACTATTCTTTTAAGTCCGTTTAAAAATAATGTCTCTTTTCATTTTTGACAACTTACATTTTTTATACATTTTAAATATTTTTCATTTAAAATTATAACATTTAAATGTCTTTTATATTTTCTTCTTAAACACCAACTTTATCTTACAAGTAGAAAGTAGAATGTAAGAGGGACTAATCATCTCTTTGCTTTGTGGTCCACAATTTATCTACAAATTCATTAAAAATTAGCCTAGCTAAGATCTTGTATTGACTTTTCTTGAGATCGATATGGATAATGCCCCATCATGACTTTAAGACAACTTAAACATCTATTCATCCAATATTAAACATCTATCCATCAAATTTCATCTTTAATTATTTTCAAATCCAAAATTTTTGCATTCAATTTTGGGTATGTATACTTAGCTTATGACATTTGTGTTTTGTCACTTTCAAGGCAATTAAAAGAGAGCAGAAAACAAAGACTACTCTCTCTAGTTCAAAATAAATATTTTTTTGATGGATATTGAAACTTTTGATCGTCCTTGATATATTGGTCCTTTCTCTTGGGGTCTTTGTTCGACATTAACTTATTTTAGGGGATTTGGAGATCTTTGTTCGATATTAATGTAGTGGGATTCGAACTTTATTACTAATAGAGTGAAGGTTTGGAAAGCTCTTTAATTGAGTTATATCTTACATATGTTTAGCATTAATTTAGTTAATGTTATATTTTCTTTGTGAAATTACTTTTAAACCCTTACTTCAATATGTTCTAAATAATTCTTCCTTTCTCTTTTCCTCTCCATCTTCGAGATACAAGAGTAACAAAGTGAATTGTACTTTATTTGTATTTAATATTTTTTTAATTTTTTTTATTTGTATATAATATATATGTTATTCGAACCAGCTATAAGAAAATGACCTATAAATTATATTTCTTCATTCGGCATTATATGGACTACGTCAAGCTGAACACGCATTGTCTACGTAGTATTTCATAGATTTAGTATAGTACTCACAAAATATATGACGACAGGGGTGTGAAAAAATTGAACCGACCAATAAATCGAATCGAAAAAATGCTATTGGGTCATTGCTATTGGGTTAGCGGTTTTATAAAAGAATTATTGGGTTATCGGTTCGGTATCGATTTGATATCGATTGTTAGCATGCGGTTATTGGGTAAATCGCTAACCCATTAAGGCGATAGACAGGTAAGCTGTAATATTTTAAAAAGCATTAGCAAAGAAAATGAACAAATCACAAAGGGAGTGTTTGGGGTGAAAGGCAATATTTTTGTGAAAATTAAAGGGTCTTCTCTTATGTAGTTTTAGTGCTTGGTAGATCATAAATAGAAAATATAAATGTACCAAAAATTATATAATTTAGATAAACACAGTAAAGATGGAGTAGGGGAAGAGTGGAGGTGATTTGGAGTTTGGTTAAATAAGCTAGGACACTATGTTGTGCTTAATCAAATAACGAACATTTTATAATTATTATAGTCAATTTATAAATACGACATTTAACTAAGCACATGAAAATTGAAAAATATTTTGCATCATGCCAAACAAACTCGTACATGGTGAATGATGCAAGTAGTAGAAATAAATCAAATCTTTTATTTCTTATTTTATGGGTCAATTCAATAGCGTCGATCTAATTAGAGGTCGTTTTTCCATTACAGCAATAAATATTAATTTGTTGGCACTAAGATATAAATAAAATATATAATCGTGTTTGGCCACTACTTCTCTCTTTTTCCGTTTTTGGGTTTTGCTTTTTTGCTTTTTTAAATTAATGATACCCACTAAAAAAAAACTAATTTTAGAAAGAAATTAATTAATATCTCCATAGGCCTAAAATTTTAGTCCATAATTTCTTCACATGTGAACACAGATTAGCATAAGCTTCTATCTATCCACGTGGCAATTTTTAATATAGTGATAGACCTGCAATTTCTATAATATCATCCGTGATGAAGTGATAAATATTTGTCCATCGTTCTTAATTAAAGATTTCGACTATCGAGTTCAGGCCTTAAATATAAAGTATAATTTTTTTTTTGTAAAATACATTGTACTTCTCAAAATGAGATTTTCGATGGAAATTTAAATTTATCAACATCAACAAATAAAAAAGAAGTAGTATAATGTGTACTTTATATTCTTTTATTTAATCATCATCCATTTAACTTATAGTTAGACTTTGATAAAGTCAATAATAATTTTATCGCTTTCTCTCGTCTACCTTTCGTAACACGCTTTTAGTTGTCACAACAGTTAATTATAATTAGTTAATATACTTTTTCATCTGAGTTTA